CCCCCCCCCCCAAAGACTTCAATATTAGGAGATTGCCCCGACCCCATCAGAGTTTCTGATCAGGTTTTTATATTGCTCGCATACATGTTTACCTAGCTCTAACATGCATGGTGATTTTGAAATTTTGGAGATGTTTTCCAACGCAAATATTTGACTTGGCAGAGCCGGGGCGAGCAGTTTAATTTCCAATCAAAATTTGCGGTCATATTTGGATGGTTTTGCTCCCATGTTATTCATGATTTTTACTCATGTTTTTTTATTTTTCTCCTTATTTGTTATTCATGAATTTCTTGCGGACATATTAACACTCTCAGATAACTATTGATGGGTTTTCATCAAATTGACTTTGTTTTTAAGAAAAAGTCCCCAGGGCTGAAGAAATCAGAAAAATTCAAGATAAAATTGTGAAAATTCTTACCTTTAAATGTCTGTTTTTCTCAAATAATTGCACATGTAATGCAGCCGTTTGGAAACAATACACCCACCCACAGACATAGAAGCTGAGTTTGGAGAACAAAATGTGTAATTTAGAGCGTGAATTGTGGGTCATTCTCGCATCAAAAATCAATAGAAATTGCAACCCAATGCCCTGCGTTTCAGACCGGTGACATGCAGACTGCTAGTACCGTAGATAAATGAAGACACCGAATAAGATTTCATGTTGAAGTTAGAAGGAAAAAGTATCCATGAAATTGATTTTCTATTGAAACTTTTTTCATTTTCTGTGGTGTGTGGAGGGCTAGGACCTTTGCTAAATTTTTATTAACAGAAATATGTTTGCAAGAAAAGTTGTCTTTGTGAAGACAAGCCTAGTGACGCCGGTCCCAGAGTGCAAACTATTTTATTCAATTGATTCTACATTATTATAGTGACTGATCAAACAAAAGGAGGGTCAAACCACTGTTGGTAGAACACCGAGATTAGAAGTACATGAAGCAGTTCAAATCCCACTTGGATCAATTTCCATTCGTACGTTCACGCACAGCTTTCTAACCATTAGGAGCTAGGCATTGATGGCGGACATAGATAGCGATAAGGCTCCAAACACTCACAGGTAATGCATTCCAATTATGCGATTAAAAAACACGCGCCAAAAACTTCTTCTTTCAACCAATTCTGCATCCATTCTACAGGGACTCATTCGCGCATGGTGCACTTCAACAAATTTCAATTCTTATCGCCCATGTTTCATTTTTTAACTTTTTCAGTGTCTATACTAAAAAAAAAAAACTCTCAGCTTCACTTATTCTTGATATGTATCAGTTTCCCCTCCGTTCCTCCTCGCGTCCCATTGACATTTATATTTTTGTTATCATCGATATCATCACCCTCAAGAGATCGCTCACATTTTCAATCCAATCCCTGCTATGGGATGTCAAGTCACATTTTCTTTTTTTCTGGAAACTCCCTCAAGAGCAAAACTTTCAGAAACATGCGCTGCATGTAAACCTTGTTTATGACTTGGATTCCTGTAAACATGCAAAGTTGTAAGTCTGGTCAAGTTTACATGTATATTGATAGCCTGTGTCCATACGTAAACAAAACCATTGAAACCATCCCTGTCTTGGAATTGTCTCAGATTTTTCCCAAAGGGTTTGCCAAAGCTCATATACATGTACGTGTACATGTATGTACCGGTACAAACCGGTACAAACCGGTACAACCGGTACATGTAGTTCTCTACTGTTTCCTATGTACATTGTACATTGTACGTTCTTTGACAAAAAATGGATAAATCCTGTCAGGGAAAGTCATGGAAGTACATACATGTACAACGTGTACGGTATGTACCGGTATGTCAAAGATTTTGTGAAAAAAAAAAGTCACAGAGTTTTTCAAAATGACTGTTCCACAATTTTGATAAAGCCACGTATGTACAGTAATGCATTACATGTATGAGAATTAGCCAGTATTTGTCATTTTATTCACATGCTTTGTAGAAATGTGGCCATCTTACCTGGCACTGTCAGTAACTTTCATCAGCTTAATTCTTATCTTGTTTTCCCCATATTTTGCCACGTTTCAATTCCAGGCCCTCGTTTTAACAGACTTCAATTCATGAAGGTATCGGGTACGAAATGTATTTCACTTTTTTTTCTCCCTGCCTCATATCCCCCGGGGACTCGCTCACAGATCGCCCCCTCGCCATAAGGGGCATTGGCCGCGATGTCACACCGGACACAACAACTGCGTTATGATCTCCCGGTGTTTGGCCCGACCTCGCCGAGCTTTTTTCCCCCTTGAGCTCTTTATCGCCGTCTAAAGCTCAATCGAGGGGGAGATTATAGGCTGTGATCATTTCGGTCGCACGGTTTCTCGCCCGCCACTTCGGAACGGCAGTAAATCCCAAATTGGAAATGAATCAAATTGTCATGGGAAACGGAACCTGGTGGTCAGGTGCAACCATCATGCATAGCAAGTGGGACTGAAGGGTGTGCTGTGCATACTCTATGACCCGATTGTCGTATTTTGTTTGCGTTGTAGGACTTTGCCAGGAAAATGAAGTAGTTAGCTGTATCTAAATGTGATTTTTATGAGGCTGACTCATTCGTCTTTAAAGATACAGTGCATACCTGTGTACACCTGGGCCCAATGTCATAGAGCTGCTTAAGCAGAAAATTTGCTTAAGCACAAAAAAACATTGCTTAGTAAAATTAGGTTACCGGCCAAAACTCCATGTCATGTACATTGCTTGTGACTGGTATTTAGCTGTTGTTTACTTAGCATAACAATCGCATGGAGTTTTGGCCGGTAACCTGATTTTATTAAGCAAGACGTTTTTGTGTTAAGCAAATTTTGTGCTTAAGCAGCTCTATGAAATTGGCCCCTGCAGTTATCTCAGAAAATTAGTAGGATTTCCAAGTCATACAGTATCTACAATGTAATTTGTTTTGAGTATTTGAAGTACGCGTTAGTTTTATCATATCTTCACATTTTCTTGAAGTAGGGATGTGACTTTGCGTTGAATTTTGTAAACGCTATGTATTTCGAGAACAGTTTAAACATTTAAATGTTTAGCCATTTCACAAAAAAAGGCTGACACCTGCTCAAGTACAATGTAGTTTGCAGTTGAACGTGTTACACTGTACATGTGCATATTGTACATGTATGTGCGTCACCAACAATCACCATCACAACCCCATCTACAAAATAGATCATTCATGGGCTGTCCTTTCATGTAACAAATTTGCGAAAACATTCCATAAATCTCAAAGACCCAAAGCTGAACTGAGAGAGATACTTTGTCATGATCAGGCGAGAAATTGTACCATTTTGGGCAATGGGGCTCTAGTTTATTTTAAAGACATATGCCATCAGCCTGGGGATTTAGTCAGTATCAAATCAGGGCATAAATGATTATAGTGCGCATGCGCAAGGTATACCGCCCCTAGAGTGGTAACAAGCATTTTGATGGACATTTTGAAAAATAGGGTGATAACACCCAAAAAGCTGCCACCGCTGCAATGCTATCACATAGATTTCCGACTCCGAAGGTGTATACCTTGCCAAAAATCACTATGACGATTATTCCCCTCATTTGATACCGGTGGCCAACATTGTGGACCGAGGCTGATGGCCTAATACCGGTAGGCGTCATGTCCCTTTTTCATCGACGAGAAGGGGTGGAGAAAATTAACCTGACTTATGTAATTGTATGAGTTTTGAAAAGATGGGTTTACAAAAGCAAATCCCGAACTCGGCTGAACTGTTTGAGATCAGCATTTCCAAAGGCCTGAACTCATACATGTATCTGGAGTCCTGGCTGTCCCTGGGGTTGGCCAAGTATTCAGGAGTCAAATCTCGATCAATCTCGGGAAAATATTTTCACACTACGATGTATCGGTTACCATCAACATGCAGATCGCTGAAAGGCAAGCCAGTAATCAAAGTGAAGGTGTTCCAAGGGGGGGGGGGGGAGAGGGGGGGATGTGCCGGGGAGAAAAAAAAAATTAAATGAGTCGGAGCTGTGTGAAGAAGATTTGACAGTCTTAATCATAAATTGTGAATTAACTGTTCAGCGATGGGAACCCATGGGTCTGTGTTTATTTGCGTTGCTGGACGACGTGTGACAGACTCGGGCTGTGAATTTTAAAATGTGGGGGGCTCAGCATTCTTGACTCGTCGGGCTCGTCTTGGGAAATATGACTGGGATGGTACTTTTTTTTTATTGCAGGTTGAGAAATGAGTTATGGCGCATTCTTTTTGATGCTGTGTTTTATTATCTTGACACTGATTATAATGATGGAATGGCTTGAGACGAATGTACAATGTACAGCGAAAAATTGTAGAAAATCAAGATGGCTGATAAAATCATGCAACTTTGTTTGTGCATGTGATAGAAATCTTTAATTGACATCTGGAGTCAATTAGAAATCTTTATTTGACATCTGTTTTTACAAAAACATGTTCTTACTACTGACATTACATGTACCGGTATTTTTTGTTCTTACATTGTACATTGTACATCAATTGTCTTATTTTCAAGTCGCTGAATAGACATGGACATGAACATGTGTACAGTACACATGTACAAAATGTACACACATGTTTATTGTATACATGTACATGTATGTACATGTATGTACCCCGGTACATAACTTATCCCATGTCAATATTTTTCAACTGGACAAAAACAGTCAGTTTTCCTATTTGGTTGGTGAAAAGAAATTCAAACATTCCCTGTTGTATTTTGGATAGTTACAATTTACAGATTGATGTGAATCAACTGTATTTTGCAAGGCAAAAACGCGTAAACATGTAAGTCTATATGCCTTACAGGTACCGTACAATGTACGTATACATATTTATACACATATGTATACATATTTATACACATATACATACATACACTGTGCTGTACATAAATACTGTAGTTGTATTTCAAATCCTAAGTTCTGCATGTAGATAGAAGACGGCAGTGAAAACACCTGCCGGCAGATTTCACGTAATCTTTTATTCTGTAATGAATGCAAGCTCTTGCAGTTTTGTAACCTTAGTTTTTTCCTTTTCTGTTTTCTATTTGCTCAGGAATTTGCGACTCTAACTAAGGAACTGAACCAATCCCGGGAACAACTTCTAGAACGAGAGGAGGAAATAGCCGAACTGAAAGCAGAGAGGAATAACACACGGGTAAGCAATTTTTTTTTTAATTAGCAAAAAGCTGGCCATGCGGGTTGCCTAAACAGATATCTTGTTTGTGTACATGGTGACCCACAAAAATGCAACCCTACAACGTTTGCCTTTAAAGAAAAGGGGGGAGGGGATCATTGGATTTTTATGTTTTGGGTATCAGATTAAAGCTGAGAGCTTTTTCTTCCAAGTACTGAAAAAAATCGTGGAAATAGCACTTTGGGTTGCTGAGAAAATGTCAATTATCCAAAAGTAGTCATTTTTCCTGCTACATGTAAGCAGGAGGAATTACAATGTTAGGCAAACGCGTTTTTTTGGTGTTTTTTTTGGCTTTTTTCCCTTTTCTTCAAGCTTGGATTGTACAGATAAGGTGGGGTACTATTTTGCTTTTTTGGTGTTCTCATGTACATTGGTGTCCTCCATAATTTGCCTTGGTGCTCTCAATCATTTGCCTTGGTGCAATTTCCATTCCTTGGTGATCTTTGGTAGAAAAAACTGAGGAGGTGCAGCAATAGAGGGCGCTGTTGGAGCTACCGTGGAACATTTTGGAAAAAAAAAAGGATTGACGCGCATGATTAAAATCGATGCGCGCGCTGACCAGAGACCGACTTATTTTTTTTTTGGCCTTAGCTTAGCTTTTTCTTTCTTTAATTATTAGTTGAACAAAAACTTGACTTGAACCGGATGGGAACATGTACACTTTGGGAGAACCATGCCAGTGCACTACCAACTGAGCTATCCAGCCGTACAATATGTTGGCGGTTCCCCAATTTGCCAATGTCTTTGTTCAATGTTGCTAGTCGGAAGCCATAATGTTTTGTTCATATTTACTTATAACTATTGCAGTGTATACACATGAGGCATGGATATTTTGTTCCATTTGACAGTTACTCCTGGAACATCTTGAATGCTTGGTCTCGCGGCACGAGCGCTCCTTAAGAATGACGGTGGTCAAGCGGCAAGCCTCGTCGCCGGCCGGCGTGTCCTCAGAAGTAGAGGTCCTCAAGGCACTCAAGTCACTGTTTGAGCATCACAAGGCGCTGGATGAGAAGGTCCGGGAGCGGCTACGCCTGGCCCTGGAACGGGTCTCCTCATTGGAGGATGACTTGGAACGCTCCAATCAAGAGGTGAGTTGTAAATTCACTGTCCAATCAAAAGCGTGTTAGGATTTTTGATAAGGTAACAGGTGCATACCTTGAAAATGGTCCAATCAGGAGCTGAGTTTAAAAATCATTGTCCAATTCGAAGCCTGTGTCCTCATTGGTGGATGAATTGGAACACTCCAATCGTGAATGGGGTTTTTAAATCATGGCGAGACGTGGTCACAAAAGTCTGAAAGTGCACAGCAGTTGGAGCGGACAGAGATGAGGATGGTAAGATGGATGTGTAAGACCGCCCTGCATGAGAAAAGAGGAGTGAAGACCTCCTGCAGTCTGTGGGTCTGATGAAGATAACAGACGAGAACTGGCAAGGCAGACTGAGATGGTATGGACAGGTACATTGTAGCAAGAAGGGAGGAAAGTCATTGGTTCAAGAAGGCATGGAAGTTTGAAATAGTTGGTGTGAGACCAAGAGGCAGGTACATGTAGTCTAGGGGCTAGACGTTGTTTGTTTGATACTCGATAACCGCCGCGATAACCCGCCGCCACGAGAGGGCGTTATCATGACCAACCATATCGCCCACGAACCCGTGAGAAACAACGTTTAGGCCAATTGCGTAAATTTCCCCCCGAAAAATGGGGGAAACTAGTGCGCATGCGCTACTTCTGCAGGCAAATACGGTCCATTCTCAGTCTCACGCATACTACACGCAACAAAAGAGCTGACCAGTGAAGTTGCACAAAAGTCTTGCAGCATCTTGTGTGCTACTGGAAGAAATTTAAGAGTTTGGTTCACAATTACTATAAAATGTTTTGAATGCGCCCCGCGTATGTATTAGGCCAAACAGGTGCGCGCGCATTACACAACCCATACGAGAAGTTGCTCGTGGGCAATATGGTTGGTCGGTATCGAGTATCAAACAAACAGCGTCTAGTAGCCCCTGGACTAAGAGGCAGGCCACGGAAGACCTGGGATGAGACACTGGCAGAAGACCTCAGACTCTCAAACCTTGCCAATGTGGATGTCAGAAATCGGACTGCGTGGAACAGGGCCATTAAGGAAAGACAACGTCTCACCCCACAGCGTGGGAAAAATGGACGTTAAATGCAAACGATGATGATGATGACTTAGCCATAAACCGAGTACTGTGACGGTCATCAGGAACCGGGGGGGACACACAACCTACAATGAAAGTGCTGGTCAACAGTCGAGTGGTCATTCTTCCCAGCACAACAGGCCCTCTCTTTTTCCCTCAGCCTCAAGGAACGGCTCATCAGGAGAGTGCTTATTGCGGCGTTTTCACATGATTGATTGATGACACGATGTGCTTGTCTTCACTGACAACAACAAAAACTTAACTGGAAAAAAAAAAAAAATACAGAAAATACAGAAAATGAGAATATTTTATGAGCAGTATTTTCATCTTCAACGGGGCTTTTTAATGGATTTCATTTATCATCCATCTGACATTTAAGTAATCATTTTGTCTTTGAGTGCTATTCTCCCAGCGCTTGTATTGTATACAATGTGTTGGTCGATTTTCAAGAAGCAGAATGTTTGTAATTCATCAAGTGCGAATGGCTTCAATGCACTGTTGTTTTGGCTTGCATTATTATTATTAATTTATTCAACCTCAACAAACACATTACAGACAGTGAGACAAAAACAAGATATGCCATGAAATCACCGTAGCTAAGAAAAATAATGTGGTTTTTTTTTTTATGAAAGTGCATGTAAGGCCAAAAAAAAAATATTCGGTCTCTGGTCAGACCAAAGTTCCGGAATTGACGCGGCGACGCGACTTTTTTTTTTTTTTTGCTTTTTTTTTTTTTCTTCAAGCTTGGATTGTACAGACAAGGTGGGGTACTATTTTGCTTTTTTGGTGTCCTCATGTACATTGGTGTCCTTCATAATTTGCTTTGGTGCTCGCAATCATTTGCCCTGGTGCAATTTCCCATTCCTTGGTGTTCTTTGGTAAAAAAAATTGAGGAGGTGCGGTAATAGAGGGCGCTGTTGGAGCTACCGCGGAACATTTTGGAAAATAAAAGGATTGACGCGCATGATTAAAATCGACGCGCGCGCTGACCAGAGACCGACTTATTTTATTTTTGGCCTAACTAGCAAAAGCATGCCACTGTCAGGGTTGACATGTACATGTATGTGCGTACGTGTGCGTGTTTATGGTGTAAATCGAGGACACACATGTGCAACATCATCGAGGAATCGAGCACAGAAATCGAATCGAGGACTCCTTGGTTTGAAAACGTGTACAAAACCAATGAGAGCTGTTGCGAAAAAGTTAAGTATAAACAAAGGAAAACGGAAGAGGAACAAAAAAAACACATGATTTACACCATCAACAGACATGTACATGTATGAACATGTACATGTACGTACATTCATTCTGTAAGTATGTGTGCCTTAAAATTCAGGCCAAATTCATAGAGTATACTGTACATCTGCCAATACTGTACATGTACATTGTAATGTACCGGTACGGTATGGATAAATTTATATGTGTTGTACACTCAATGAAAGACACAGATGTGATTGCAAAAAGCGCACATGAAAATCAATCAGTCGATACAATGCAGCAATAATCCAACCTAGAATAAACCCCAGAGCCGCCAGTGTATCAGTTTCTCCCATTGGACGCAGGGGGAATAAACCCCGGACCCGGGCCAATCATGCGCAAGACTAGTCCAGGACTTCATCCAATTAAAAGATCCGTTACAGAGTCGCTGTAACCCGAGCGCGGCGGATAACGTTTCAGCCGTTGGTCTTTTTTGTTCATCCATTTCCTGCTACGGGCCGGCCTTTTGAAATTCCGGGTGGAATCCGCACTTTTTTTTTCCTCCTGGAAAGCAGGAAATGATGCCTTTTTTATTAACTGAAATCCCGGACCTAAATCCGATGGAAAAGGACAAAAATTGGAATCCTGTGAACTTGATATTTCATCGCCAAGTCTGGATTTTTCTTTTGTCCGTGTGTTTTTGTGATATTTCGAGTTGAAGTGCATTCCTCTTTCGACGGTACAAGACCTATCTTGCCAATCATAGAAATGGCAGAGACTGAAAACCACATCATCCAACCCCATCAAACCGAACATGTACTTGCAGGCATTATTGGTTTGGATGTACATGTAAGACAGCACAAAAGCAAAAACTAAAACGAAACCCTGCAGCTGAAATCAATGGTCTTTTTAGACTCACTGCCCAACTCGTATTTGGTAAGCAATAAGAGAGGACTTAGTGTGGCTGGGAGCATTGTGATGTGGGTATCCTTGGCTCATTCATGCGCTCACAGACTCGCCTCGTCTTCCAGAGTATCAGATGAACGAAGAGCTCTGCCGTTTAAGTGCCCGGGTTGGTTGGGGGATTCATTCCCACAGCAACGCTGGATCGTATTCTAGGGTTATTGTTGGGGTTTTGGCAAGGATGGTCGTGATTTTTGCCGCGAAGTTGACATGCTGGAAGACTTGTCTGTGAAGCATTTTATCTGTCTGGGATAACGATCGATAATGTCTCGGCACCGGTGCTATCGCTGACAAAGTGGGTTTTGGGCAATATATTTGGACACTGATGCTTTCTGCATACTGTGTACATGTACATGCATGTACCGGTACATTGGCTTTTAGCCCTTCACCAACGTACACGTATATAAGCACTGTATACTCAGTGTTGTCTGAACGCTTGCTAGAAAAAATTCACAAACTTACTCATGTGGGACCCTAACCCACGACCTCCTGCTTACTAGTGCAGACATTTGACACTATTAAGAGGATGTTGTGGGTTCACATCCCATCCGAGTAAGCTTGTAAATTTCCTCTTGCAATTAAGCCTCGGACAACAGTGCTTGTAAAATACATTGGTGAGGGGCTGATGTTAAAACAAGCTCGGAACAATCTCGGAAGCTGCGGGCCAACAAATTCGTGTTCATGCCTGAGTGACGTGATTGTGCCATGTAATTTCAGGTTTTTGACCTTAGTGACCCCATGATGACCTTTGACAGTCAGACCCATTAAAGCTATAGTCCATCATTTGCAGCCATCCGAAAAGTAACTGGCGTAATTATTGTTGAAAAACAAACTTGGTTGAAACATAGTAAGGGAACTAAACTCCTTGTGAAATTATTCTTTCTGGGAAGCTGTCATTTTGATGTAATCAACGAAAGAAGGCATTTCCAACAGTGATTCTTAAGAAGCACCGTAGGAAAATTTAAATTAGTAGTTCGTTTTGTTATTCAGCGCAGCGCGCACAAGTATTGGAACGACGCACACGCGCGCGCGGTTGTTATAATTCTTCGGATCAGTGCGCGACGTCGCGTAAAGCTGCAATTCAAAACAATTCAAAACATGATTCAGTAACTTTTGATTTGAAATTGAGATCTTAGAATGCTGTTTTTCTCGGAATGTAAAGCTGAAGCTTAGCTGAAACTTCATCAGGTTAGTTGCTCAGTATCCTTCATTAGATTTTGAACTCTTTTGTTGCTTCAAACGAACAAAATGCACAAATTACAAATGATGGACTGTAGCTTTAAACTTTAAAGTGACACAAAAGAGGGCCAGGGTCGGAGGGAAGAGTTGATACATACATGTACATGTACATGTATTGCCAGGACCTGAGGGACGTGTTGATATACATAGCCATGCGAGGCTGCACTGGAATGTTTGTTACTAACTAACTACGGAGAGATATGACGATTTGTTCAGCTGCTGATCGCAGCTAAACATTTGATAGACATATCTCACAAATATGTTTATTTACATGCCCAAGCATTGTACAGAAGAGATTCAGGATATACTCTGTTATTTGACCTAACCGCCCCAATCTTCTAGCTCTACCAGGAACATATGTTTAGGTTCCTGTCAGCCGCTCCGGACAGCTTGCCCTGCATGCCCCAACTACCATCAAGATGGGGTAATTGGCTTAACGTCTCTGCGCCGACAGCAGTCCGGCCTCGTGGGGTCCGGGACCCAGCCAATGACGGGAGTAGGAAACTTACAGATTGAGGAAAAAACAGTCAA